AGGAAAGATTTATTACCTGGTGGTATTCAAAAACTATTTGATGAAAGGGAAGGGGGATGCAATTTAAGGGGTCAGTTAGATTATAAAATTTATACTATACGTACAACCAAAAAAAGATTCTGTATTTCCATAAGTGGGGTAAAACTATGGAATAATTTAAGTGTGGACATAAAAAACAGTAAGAAAATTGATGAGTTTAAACACAGATATAAAGGTATGTGTCAATCAAGATATGGGCAAGAACAGGCTTAATGATTAATCAGATGGGAGTGTGGATGTAGAATATGTATCCATGTAGTAATACTGCTTGCAAACCAATGATGATAAGATGATGTTAGGGGGTAGGACTAGATAAGTCTAACTTCTTCCTACTCCGTTCAAGCATGTACTAGGTATAAGCAAATTGAAAATATTTTGTGGATATGTCTGGAATTACGTGTGATTACATACTGACTGTTGTTACATGTTTGAAAGAATAAATAAATCAAATCAAATCAAATCAAGTGATGCCCCAGAGGCACCATTCTGTAACTCAACTGAATAATCAGAGTGAACTGAGTCGTTCCAACAGCTCCAGCAGAGTGGGACGTCTTCACAGTCAGTCGATCTCACATCACTAATGATAATGTAGCATATTCTGTGTACATGCAAATGGTTATGAAGATCCATCGTTCATGCATCTGTTGCGTTAAATATTACAGGATAACTTTGATTAGCTTTTTTTTTTTTTATCCAAAGTACTGCCAGATGGACAAAGAAGTACTTTTACTGGCAGCACAATGTTCAACCCATTACCCCCCCCAAAACAGCGCTAGTTGACTGTAAGTGCACATTAAGTCATTCTGCACGGGACATTAATTTAGCCAGTTGTGACATTTAATAATTGCTAGTTTTGTTTTTCTTGAATAACTTTCAAACTAATAGGCTAATGATGTCGGCACCATCCCAAATGCCAGCGGTAGGTTTTCATGTCAAGTAATCGTATTATGAGACATGACTGTCATTCATGGCTTTTAGGTTTAATGTCATTTTGAGGAAACTGAGCTGCCCTTTGCGAAGGTTTGCACTCGGTCTAGTTTGTTCTGTCTTCATAAAGACACCCTATAATGCAAAAATAAATAATATAGAGAGACATATCAAGATTCATGAGAGTAGGAAATAGTGTGTTCATTGAGTGTATCGAGTTACTGTCATTGAGGGTTGCGGTGGGCGGTGGGGGCTGGAGTTGTTCCCAGCTGACACTGGGCGAGAGGCGGGGTACAGTCTGGACAGGTCGCCAGTTGATCACAGCGCTGATATGTAGACAAACAACCACACACACTCACACTGACAATAATCAGTAGTTGTCAAAATATCTGCTATGAAAATGGTCTGTTAGAGGAATGTATCGTTATTAAGTCTGAATTAGTCATTTGCACCTTCAGTAATTTGTACTTTGTAATCATTTGAGTGCATGAATTAACAGATTAGAAGAGCAGTCCTTTATCCCTGATGATGATGATAATGTAACACACACAGTGCCGACAGTCTGAAAAGGGAGTTTCCATGCAATCATTTGTTCAAACTCTAGGTGTCACCCTGTCATTGACTGTAACTTCAGCTTTTCTTTCACCTTGTACTGAACTGACCACCAGGCAAATCCACTTAAGCTGAGACAAAATGAAATGGCCTCTGTGTGTGTGTGTGTGTGTGTGTGTGTGTGTGTGTGTGTGTTTCCAAAGTGATTTCAATCCATCAGCTTTTTCTGTCTTCAGCATCCTTTCAACAATCAAATCCACACACTTTTATGTCTGTGTGTGTGTGTAGACATGTGTTTCATGAGTGGACTGGTATAGCAGTTATCCCCTTGACAGATACTGTATGTGTGTGTGGCTCCATGTAGTCAACTGAATAATATTTATCCATCTTTAAAATACACATTTTATCTGAATGTGTGAATACATGTCCCGTGTGTGTGTGTGAGGTGTCGCAGTAGATATGTTTATTTGTTAAATAATTCACAGCAGGGTGTTTACAGACGACTC